CCCTCCAGGACGGCCCCCTTCCTGGGCCCCAACTCCCTAGTCTTGCTTCCCTGCCACCCAAATTTCACAGTACCTTTAATGGCAACTCAGACCAGGCCTTGAAAGAGGATCATTAATAGCCAAGTAATAATAAATTGTACACAGTGCCCACAAATTCTTTGTCATGAAATAAATAACATAAATAAAGACAAAATACTGTACATTAAAAATAATAAGTACTTTTAGTTCACTGATAGGTGAATAAGACCCCTCAGCTGATTTAGTAGGCTTGATTACCTGCTGCCGTTTTGTGAAAGGAACCCGCACTGCAACAGTGTAGACCAGACTAGAGAGAACAGAGGAAATCAAGCCTACTGATTTAGATGCAATCAAAATTTTGAAATTATCACATCATTTTCATTCTCCAGTTTTGAACAAACAAATAAATGTTTGAATGATGAATAAATAAAAGTACCTCCTGCATTTAATAAATTAATACAGACAACAACAACTTTATTTCACAAATTAAGATAATTGTCCTTGGTAGCACGCAATAAGCAAAGCTATTCTACATAAGCCACTTAACCTAAACTAGGAATCTATATTGTTTCACTCAAAGAAAAACAAAATAAATAATATTTACTGGGTATAAATTCCTGATTTAACACCTGTTTAAATTAAAACATAGGGCTTAGTGAGCTCTCATAGTCCATAAAAAAGGATTTTTTTCTGTTATTGTCTTTTAAAAACACATTCAGGTTAGTCAAGACACAGTATGGGATCTCACGAAAAGGTTCTGCTGTATAACAAAGCAATAAAAGATATCCCAAGGAAACAAATGCTTCTCTTTCATCACAGTCTCAACTGTTTTTCTGCCAAGAGACACCTGAGGTGTGACTCATAGCTCTACAGATCTGTACAGTGTCTGAATTGGTTTTCTCATCTACATAAGTTTGGTTTTCATGTGACATGAAAATGTCAGATGATCAGGGATTTCACTTTTCCTACGCTGTATCAAGAGGACACTACTTTGGCTGAAAAGCCCGTTCGTTCTCTCTTTACCTGATTTTACCTGATTATACCAGATGATCAGGGAAATTCTTCATGAAACAACAAAATCCCTGATCCTCCTAGATAAGCAAACCTTGTCTGTGTGGAATTTTTTTGGGCCAAGTCTGTTTGCAGACTTCTGTTTACGAAGGCTAAATAAAACAAGGAAGAAAACCCTTACTACAGAACGAAGAGCAATTGTAAAAAAATTACTATTCCATTAAAAATCTTTTGACTAACTTAAGTCGCTCTCAAAATGTGGGGAAAGCAAGTGAACCTTCCCCTGCTTTCCTCTGTTTTGTGTGAGTGTCGTAATTCAAGTATTTACTGTACAATAATTATTTGACAGACTGTTACAACTTGACTCCATAGGAGACACTACTCCACATTGAGTCACCTCCCAGGAGAGTTATCTGTAGATGTAGAAATTTCCACATTGTACAAAATTTTTTTGTTTCTTGTCCAGCTGTAAGAGTTATCAAAACGAAGAATATCTGGAGAGACAAAAGGTCAACTTGGTTAGCTGATGGTTTTGTATGTGCAAACTCTAACTAAAGTAGAAAGAGGTATGAAATTCCTATGATATCTCCATCTTTAAACTTTAATCAAAGAGAAGGAAAATTGAAAATATAAAATTAAGACTTGTTACAGTACTTACAGATGCCTGGTTTCTCACAGAGAATGGATCCTTCCTCGGGAATCATGTGACAGTCCCGTCTCTCTGTTGGAATCTGAAGAACAAACATTCCAATTCTTGTTCGTCAAGTAATTATGTACAGTGCATGTACAGGTACATAGGTGACCAAGAGATAAACCAAGGTTGCAAGAGAAAAAAACCAGGAGCTGAATGTTGGGTATTGGAAATTCATCTAGATGTACACATGTTCCTTGGTAACACCCTTTACTAATAGGCATATCAACAATTAAAATGGTGACTAAACCACTTCCTTTTGTCAATAACTCTCCATCTGCTTCATCTTTCCCTCATCTTTCACTTGACTTTCTGTCGTTTGTCCTCCTCTGTCCCATCCTCAACTGTCCCTCACCCCTCCATTGCTCCTCTCTTGCCCTTCCCGTGTTTATTCCTCACCCTTCCTCCTTCTCAGGGGGAGAAGGGAACAGTACACAAGGGAGAAGCAAATTCAAATCACCTTGTGATAAATTTGAGACAAAACTTCCACACACTTACTAGAGGTTTACAAGCTCTTGCTTTAAATTTTGTATGGCTTCAGTGTCATGCTAGAGTTATCTTTTGTTTATATTATAGTGACTGACAATGTAATTATTAGGAATTTAGTTGTGCAGCATTTACTAGAAAACTGAGATTAGGGAGATATCAATTCACACCATTTCCTCCACAGCTTTAGAACCAGTCTTGTCCTTTTCAGTGAAGAAAACACCAAATCCAATGTCATGGTCTAGAGATCTGTACTGCCAGCTATAAGGGGAGACAAGCATGCTCTAGTTGAGTATGTGACACACCAAAACTGATTTAAATACTCAAAAATGATTTCAATTTGGGCCACTGACTAAGCAGGTGACTACGTGAGCAATGCAATGACTGTTTTGGTTTCAACCTAAAGCATTCTTTTGAGGCAATCAACTTGCCCAAACTATTAGTCAGCTGTCTTCCCAAAGTTGTTTCTTTCAGAGACAGTGACTGTAACACAGGATACTGAGTTGTATGAACCTCCAACAATGATAGTTTGTAGGTGCCTCAAAAGCTCCAAGTAAACCAGTGCTCTTCCTGTGGGTTAGGTTGGAAGTGGACTGGAAAAGGCCCTCTTTTCCTCCCTTTCCTCTCATGCACAAGCCTGTTGAGAACATCTTTACCTGTTCATCCCAGG